TTTTAAAATCCAATGTGTGGATCACATAATATTTCAAAAATTTTAACTTTTGAGTATAGATGATCCGCACTGTATCAGTAATGCCAACCGGTTGAAGCAAAACTTTGAGGTAAGTAGAAGATTCTTTTAATTTTTTCACTTCATTTCCTTTTTTTCAGAATAAAAAAAAAAGAATGAATTAGTCAGTATGAAAGACTTCCAGTAGTCCTGAGAAAGGGTAAAACTCACACAACTATGGTGGGCATTTTACATGTTACTCACTTTACAGTCTTACATGTCCGTTGTGGTCTGCCAACATGCAGTATGGGAGTCTTTGAGTAGTCCTGAGAAGGAGTAATACTCACACAACTATGGTGTGTTACTCACTTTACAGTCTTACATGTCTGTTGTGGTCTGCCAATATGTTGACCACCTTATGGCCTTATGTGTTCATTGTGGTCTGCATCATATAAATATAATAAAAATAAAAATTCAATACAAGTTGTCATACTAATTCATTTCACTAATTTAATGGGGGATATTGTGATTGCTGCAAAGATATTGATGTATTTTGGAATAATATCAAAAGCAACCTTGCTGATATAATAATCAAACCCAGAGAAAAAGAGCTATAATTGACTGAGGTTTAGTTTCTTGAAAGTTTTTTAAAGCATTTTCTTTGATTGTTTGTCTATATTGAATGTCATTTTTGGTTGCAGATTTGTGTGGCCTGTTCCGTGATGAATAATACCACAACAATACTTCAAACTGCCATTGGAAGGGTCAATGTGGCATTGGTAAGGATAAGTGCGATGGTGAATGGTAAAAAGTAAAATAAAAATAAAACAATGGTTATTTACTTCATTGTGCATTGTTACTGAAGAATGTTGGGAAACAACCACCAGAATCAATGATAGATAATGATGATACAGGTTCAGTCTCCTCAGATGATATTAAGAAGGTCAGAACAGATAATAATTCTATATAAATGTCTCTTCTCGGAACTTGTGAAACTTACACAGATTAAGATGACAAAAGATCTCTCTGTACAATCACAAGATTTGATGCTTCATCACCACTACATTTTTCTTTAATAGATTCTGATAATGAATTTAATGAAGGTGACAATCAGATGAAGAAAATATTGAGGAAAATAGCATGTTCTCTAATGATATAAATGAAGTTTCATTGAGCAAGCAAAGTAAAACAGAATCCAAATGGAAACTAAAGGATGGTCATTTAATTGTTGATGTTCTTAATGCCAAGTTCACTGAGATGGTGAAATTAGCTTTAGAAAAAGACAAAAAAGAGCAACACAATTTATGAAGAGTGTTATTCAGTATGCTCTTATTTTTTTGAAATAAGTTATTAATAAAAAGAAATGTCTAATATAGTAAATACAGATTAGGACTTTCTTCAATTGTTGATCTGTCTTCCGAATTTAAAGATGGAATGTATACATGGTTTGGGTGGGAGTGAATGGATATTAAAATAAAGGTCTATGGGATTGTCAACATGGAACCAAATATGTTTGATTGAGAGATAAAAAATGTTATTGACACTGTTGAAGAGGAAGTAGCCATTTATTGATTTGTACATATATACATATCATTGCCTCACTACTTATACATTTATTTTGACCATTCACAGATGTGTGATATGTGCCATTCATAGTAACCATGATTTTTTTTCACGCATAGTGCATATAGTGTGCATGGTAGCATAGTGCGCATAGTATATATCATAGGGAGGGAAATATCATAAATGCACATATAATAATAAGAAAGTAAATGGCTTTTTTTTTTTAGAAATGTTTATTAATAAGTAAATGTCTATAAAAAATATATCTAAAATCTTATGCGTGGCACATCTCTAGATATAATGAAGTTCGTGACTATTTGTATAAGATGAAAATTACATATATTTCTATGTGTAAGTTATAAATAAGTCCCTAATTTTTGTGATTTGGTCACATTGATTATCTACTGATTATGGTGTTCGATGGTGGTTGATCATCAAACATATGTTACATCAATATAACAAATTATTATGTGCGGATTTTTTAGTATCTTTATCATATATTTCAATACATTGTAAATGTTGACAACAAAATTCAACTAACAATATATTTTTTTGAAAATATGAATTATAAAAAGAAATTTCTATTAATTTATCAGTTACAATGTAAATTTTTATGGTAAAATTTAATAATAAATTGAATAACATAATAAAATTAAACAAAACTTTTATAGTTTTATTGTTTAAGTCTTCTACAATAAAGTTACAGAGAGCTTTTTTCTCTATCTCATTTGGTTATAAAGTTTTTCTATTAGCAATCTTTTTTCAATTTCTTTACTATAATTTCCCTTAGTTTCATGTCTGTACCTCTTTATTTGAAGGCTATGATACAATTTTTATTTATATAGTTTTTACATATGGGCATGCTGCAAAAAAGCCAGACAAAGTGAACATTGGTGTTACCAAAGATTTCAGGAATCAAAATTTGTAATGTGATCAGTTTTATAATATCCCATTTGTTATCAGCTTTTTCTTCCATGAGAATTATTGGTATACTTCCAACATGTGCATCCACACATTTATGTTTTAAGGTGCTTCTAGAGGCAACATTATGGTTAACTTGGAATGAAAAAAGGTAAGAAACAATACCCAACAACCCGCCATCCCTTCCATGAAGTCCATCTTCCGAATCACCTTCTTTCAGATTTTTAAGAGTTTTAGTATTTGAAATTGCATCTCTGAATGATATTCACTTGTAGACATAATTATAATATGGTTGTTCTTTTGTTGAGTTTGCAAATTCTGCATAAATTGGATGTAAGTACTAATGACATTTCACTTTCCAAAATAGAATGGGTTGTTCCAATGGAAGATTAAAACAAAAGCTGTATGAATCAACTGGTTGAACTGAATATTTAATGGGCCTAAGTTGAGTACCTATATATTTCAGAAATTGTTATGTAGATACAGTTGGTCCATGTAATAAACAGTATACCAAATGCTCTCTCCAAAATCAAATAATTAAATAAAATGGAATGTATGAAAAAAATTTTTTTTATGCAATTTGTTCATTAACTTTTTCTTCTACCTCCCGAAGCTTCTTACTCCACTCCAGCACTTCATCTCCCCACTTCACTTTCTCTTTCTCCAATCTTTTTTTTTCTTCTTTCAGTTCTTCTATTCTCCATCTTTTCTCAAACTTCTCCAAATTCTCCTTCATAAATTCTTTTAAATTATTCACTGCCTCTTCTAATCTTGCTTCTGCTTTGTTTAATTGAGTTTTAATTTCCTCTTTTGTCGTCATTTTTTAAAGATTAAAAAATTTTTAAAATTAAATTTGTGGGCACATGACTTGGAATTTTACAACAAAAAAAATTTATTTAAAAATATAAGTTAAATAATTGTCAGAGTACTTGCATGGGAGAAAAATACTCGGACTCAAAGCCATTTATAAGTATTACCTATTCTTTAGACACTCTGATAAAAATACAACTTTTACTATTACTATTGCTATTACTATTATCAATAATATTATTACTAATATTTATTTCTTTATTGTTTTTATTATCTTCTTTGACTTCATTCTCCATCTCTTTCTTCTTTTCTTTGTTAAACCACTGTTGAATTGCTTCTATCTGTTTTTCTTCTAGGATTTGTTTTTTGTTGGTAGAAGTTTTTTATTGTGGAAGCAGCAACACCCTTTCCCTCTGCAAGTAATTCACGAATTTCAATAGCCATTTTGCTGAATGAAAAATTTGGATTTAGTTTAGTCTTTTTGTCAATAATTGTTAGAAAGAAATCCTTAATCTTTCTGTAGATTTTTGATTACTTGTGAATATTTTTTATCAGTAAGTTGGTTTATTTGATTTATAATAGAGAGTTGATTTTTGTAAGTTTTATAGTGAAGTAAAAAACAAAGCAAGAGTCCAATCAACAATCCACAAAAAAGTTCAATATTAAAAGTAAACATTTTTTAAAATGTTATTATGGATGAAAATATTGTAAATATTTATTGAAACATTTGTTATTTGATTTTTTTACCTGAAAGTTAAGTGAATTGGTGATGTTTTATAAAACACCCTTAAATGTAGAATTCATTGAAACAACTCAAATGATTGATAAGCAATGCAATAAGATGATCATTAATTACATTTGCATAAAGGTGAATTTTCTTCAGTAAAAAAAAAATAAATCAATATTGCAATAATAAGATTATTTTTCTTCTAAGGATTTCTGCTTTTTGTTGGGTAATAGTATATCTCCATTCTGTTTTCTTTTCTTAATGTTTGTTATTTTTCTTTCCTCTTGGTAAATTTCATAAGTAATCCTTTTTTTCTTAAATAAGCTTCCAGTGTCTGAGTATCATTTATTTTGAAAATGTAAGGAGCAATTTTTTCACCTTGTTCCTTCTTCAAAATACTTCTAATGGTGCTATAATTCTTGGGTTCTATAGAAGATCTGATGTAAATTAATTTCATAATAATTATTTTTGTTTAGACAAATATCATTGATAAAATAATTGTGATGTTAAACAAACACTATTAATCCCTGAAATTCTGGTTTTGTTGCAGTATGCCCCATATATCCTTATTTTTTTAAAAAAAGTTTGTTATTGATCGGCATTATGTTACATCACCTAATGGGGTGTCCCACATCATATATGAGGGGCGCTCTAGGAAAAAGCCAGCACAGTTAAGATTAGGAGAACCCTAATGAAGGGGGTCCGAGCTATTTTTAAAATTTAAAATATTTTGATTAAATTTTGTTACACGAAAGTACCCCTGGATTATTATTTTTGTGTTACGTATTAATTATGGACAAAGACAACTATACAAAGATGAATAAGTAAAGAACACATACAAAGATGATTAATAAATGTTAGAAGAGAAAAAAATGGAATTTTTAATAAATAAATTTTAATTTATGTATTCATGTATTAATGCACAATATTATTTGTAAACACAAAAAATAATCTTTGTTAATCTTTGTTAATAAATTGTTTTGTATATTTTCTTTAAATTGTGAACAATTTTAAATGCATATATAATTCATGTATATAATTTTCGATGCACAAATACAATTTACAAGTAATTTTACATACAAATTATTCATAAAATAATTTTGCAAAAATTAATATTTTATAATTTAAAATGTCTGATTTAATGGAAGAAATTATTGAAGCATCTGAAAATGAAAATGAATCATTTGAAGAAAGTAATTTGATACAATACAATTTAGCTGAATTAGGATTAGAGGAATATGAATCAAATACTTTGGTACAGAAAAATGTTCATGAACTAAAATTATTTTTTGGAAACAGATCAAACTGTAGATGTCGAAATGAAAATGAAATTTGTTTTGAAAAAATTGGGTTTAAAAATTTTTTTGAAAGATACATGGAATTGAAAGGATTAGAAAAAGATATGAAGGATCTTTGTATTAAAACACAATTAATGACATTTGAGTTAGTAAATGAAAATTCAACTAAATCACATTATAATTATAAATATAATTCATCAATACCTATTTGTCAAAAAGTGTTTTTGATACATTGCAAGCACATTTTAAAACAAATGGTCTGGAAAGTCGTATTCATGGCAATACAAAAAGAATTCCTAAAATCAAATCATGCTCATTAATTAATGCTGAAGTAGCAAATACCTTTAATTGATGATCGAGAATTCTTATAGTGATCGGTGTGTGCAAAAATGGTAAAAAATCGTCAGTTGACAATGTTTAACAAATAATAAGGCACAATGTTTTGGTATTACAAAC